TTACTTTAGCAGATATGATAGGTTTTATAATCTTTCTTTCTAATTTTTCACGAGGTGTAGGATTAGGTATAGCATCCATTTGTTCAAGCATTATTTTATCAGCTAAATTTCTATTCTCTTTATCTGTAAAATGTTTATAAGCAAGATCATGAATATAAGCTGTTTTATCAACTCTATCTACAGGCATACTCCATTCTTTAGGCATCTCAGTAGAAGTTAATCTTTCATCTAAATTAGTACCAGGTCCTGCAAAGTTCATACCTGGTATATGCATTTCACCTGGAAACTTTTGCAAAGGTAATTTTTTATTACTTGTAAATTTATTAATAGATTCTACCAAATCACCTCCTTTTTGTGCTCCTTTTGTAAATTGACATTTTCTTGTTCCGCAGATTGCACAATTTCCACATTGCATATTTCTTTTGTTTTTACTCACAGCATGTTGTAAGTTGAGTGTATCTGTTTTGTTTTTACATTTAACGCAATACATTTTTTATATATGTATTTTAATTTATTTAATTTAAAAAATACTTTTCGTAAATAAAAAAATGGAAATTATAGATTTATCATGGAATGTAAATAAAAGTAAACGTCAAAATAATGAGTTATTACCTAAAAGTATAAGAGGGATTATTGTTGGAAAATCAGGTTGTGGAAAAACAACATTATTATTAAACTTGCTATTAAGACCTGGTTGGTTAGACTATAATAATTTACAAGTTTTTGGAAAATCTCTTTTTCAACCTGAATACAAAATATTAAAAAATTCTTTTGAAAATAAATTACCAAAAGAAGTTATTCTTAAATTATTTGAGTTGCAAGATCAAATAAATAAAAACAATGTAAATCCAGAGTTTGTTATTAAAGACATTTCAAGAAATTTAAAAGATAAAACAGATATAGAATGTAAATTTTTTGAAACAGCAGAGGATGTACCAGAACCTGAAAATCTTAACTGTATTAAAAATAATTTAATGATATTTGATGATTTACAATTAACAAAACAAAACAAGTGTGAAAAGTACTATATAAGAGGAAGACATAGCAATGTAGATTGTTTCTACTTGGCACAAAATTATTTTGAGTTGCCTAGGAGAACGATAAGAGAAAATGCAAATTTTATTTGCTTGTTTAAACAAGATTCTAAAAATGTAAACCATATTTATAATGATCATGTTTCAAATGATATGAAATTAGATGAATTTAAAAAGTTTTGTAATGAAGCTTGGTCAAAAAAGCATGGATTTGTTGTTATAGATTTGTCTTCTGATTTATTAAATGGAAAGTATAGAAGTGGATTAGATTTATTTTATTATCCAACTTCATTGTGGAAACAATAATATATAATTTTTAAAAATATATATTTTTATGAAGATCTAGTTCCTAAAGAAGAAGACCTAATAAGGGTATATTCTTAAATGGAGAATTTTCTCCTTATAACAAACCTTTACCTACTGATGTATAATCATTTCCATTTCTTAAATAATATCCATCGTTTGAATAATTATAACTACCATTCCATGGGTTTAAAAATACTCCTTTTCCTACTTTTCTAATTTTAAATCCATAACCATTCTTTTTTCCATAAATAATACCATTTCCAGCAATTTTATTAACTATAGTACTTCCAGCAGCTGCAGCTGTTCCAGTCAATACTCCTTTTCCTACTTTTCTAATTTTAAATCCATAACCATTCTTTTTTCCATAAATAATACCATTTCCAGCAATTTTATTAACTATAGTACTTCCAGCAGCTGCAGCTGTTCCAGTCAATAATCCTGTTGCTATAGCCGAAACAACTTTTGATGCAATTACACTTCCAATTAATCCAAGTAGAGGTAGAAATCCACCATTTTTTTTAGCATTATGTTTAAGTTGTGCTCTACTCAGTGAAAGTGTTATACCCTTATTTTTTAAATATGCTGCATTCATTCTGTTTATTTGTGACTCTGTTAAAGCTATTTTGTGTTCACCATTTAAATCTTCATATGATAGTTTTATACTAGCATTAGTATCAGATTCAATTGCTTTTTTAATTTTCTCTTTCTGAGTATCTGAAAGATTGATAAGAGTATCATAGTATATTGTCATTTTTTATATATAAAATAATTTTTTTAATTCACTTTAAGTTATTGCTTTCTGTAATGCTTTATACTCATCATCATCTATTTGCCCCTGTCGTAACAACTCATCACAAATAGCAACAATCTCATTTCTTGTTCCAGTATTTCCTGCTTGTAAACCAGCTAAGCGTAATTTAAGCATATCAAATAGTGCATTTGGATCACTAGGAAGAATAACAACTCCTTTTCCAGACTTTCCAATCATCTCTTCCCAAATAGGTTTTATTACATTAGTGTACTTATAACCTTTAGATGATCTTGGTTTAGCTAAATTTAAATCAGAGCGAATTGCATCTGTTTGATTTAAAATTTCTTTATACTTATTACGATCATCGTTAGTATATCTAACAGGATGAGATTTTACTATGATTTCCCAAAGACCAGGTGTACCAGTGTATTTTTTACCTTCAATAATTATATCATTACCTTCAATAGTTATTGGTTTTTTACCAATGTAAAATTTTTCATTACCTTCATTGTAATGTATACCAAATATGTCATCTGATACTTTTTTACTATTTTTAGCAGTATATAACTTTAGATATTCTGCTGCGATAGGTCCTAATATCATGTTATCTACAACTTCAGGTGGCATGATTGCTTTAGTTTCAGAATCTAGTAAAGCAGGATAATTTGAAAAAGTATTTGCTATTTGATCAGCTTTATTTTCTAATTTAGATATACCTTCTTTTATTCCAGATTGACTATCAATTATTGGTTTGTACATTTTTTCCAAGTTAGTCTGTAAAGCATCATAGCCTAACTTTTCATTTACATCATCTTGATATACACTTTTCTTTAAACCCTCAAGTTCTTTTGCTATTTTTAATCTTGCATCAATATCTGTAGCTTTTGCATACATTTTTATATATGTAATAATTTTTTTAAATCACAATGTGATCCCTAGATCCCTAAAGGGATTAAAATCAACATATATTATGTTTTTAATACATAATATATGTTCAAGTAATACATAATATATGTTCAAGTAATACATAATATATGTTTTTTTATTTAATTCTTAAGAGTATTATTCATCACTCCTATATTCTGATTTTTGTTAAATCTCATATTTAGCAATTCCATAGTTTCTTTCATTGCTTTCTCTTTACCTTGATTAATGAGTGACTCTTTAGTCTGTTCATCTATATCATTCTTAGATTTTGTTCTAATTTGTTCAGTCATAGCTTGAAACTTTTCAAGTTCTGAAAGTATCATATTAAATTCTGCATCATCAATATATTGATCTGATATAGCTTTAGAAATAAGACTACTTATTGTATTTAGTTTTGCATCAGATAGTACTTTAATCTTTTCATGCTTTTCTGCTTTTATTGCTAATTTTTTAATAGCTTGTGATCCTATTAATGATAATACACCCATACCTAATGCTGCACCTTCACATGCGATAGCTACTGGTGTTCCAACTATTGTTGTTAAAAAACCAATACCAACAGCTCCAAGTGTCATAGTAGTTGCAAGTAATGAATTATCGATTGCTGAAATTATTCTTACAGCTCTGTGATATTTTTTACTTAGCATAGCTCTTCTATTTCTTTCACATTCCATTTTATTTTGAATTTCACTTATCTTATCTAATCGATATCTCTGATCTATAGATTGTGGTGGTGCAGATGGATTTTCTGAAAACTGGTTAAGATCTGGATAAAGCTGCTTACATTCATTATTATATCCATTATTACATAGCATTTCTTTTTTCTATAAAGAAAAATTTGTTTTAAATCACTTTTGTGATCAATGCTTCACTAAATCACTTTTTACCAAAATTAAATATATCTTCATCAGATTTATCTATACTAGGTTTATCTTTAATTACTTCTTCTATACTTGATAATAAAGATTTCACAGATTCTTTATCACTTTTCTGTTTAGTTCCTGAGTCATTTTGTTGTCTAATTTGTTCTTCTTTAACATGTTCTAAAGCATCTCTATGTGATATATAATTTGCAATTAAAACACCATTATAAGTTGATATACAACATAACAAATCTCCTTTTTTTATGTTTATATCTTTTTTATCGTTATTATATACAGTTATTTTAATATCGTCAGTAGACTCTGTTACAATAGAATTTAGTAAATTTAGTTCTGGTTTATAATTTTCTGCAATTGAAATCACTATATGTCCTTTATCTATTTCAACACCACACATTAAAGAAATGTTATTATATGAATTTGATTTTACTGTAAAATCTTCTTGTGCGAATACTTTAATATGTCTATCATTTATTGCTCTATGTTCTAAATCTGAATTAATATTAAAAGTTATTCTATATTGTTCATGCTTTTCATAATATAAAAACATTCTACTATTATACATTTTATAAATGTAAAGATTTTTTTAAATCACTCTGTAATCCTCATATCTATTTTGTTTTTAAAGTTCTAGCAATATAATTTAAAATGCTTTCACCTTGATGTAAAAAATTACACTTTTTATTATTAACATTTTTATATATTAATTTTTTTTCTCCTTTTTTATTTTTCTTTAATTTACTCTCTACTAATTTACATGGAGTATAATGACAAATTTCTACATTTTCTTCAATTTCTTTAAAAGAATGAGCATATTTGCAATTTATATTTTTACATTCTTTTTTATCAAGAATATATTTACATAATTTAGTTTTAGCTTTTCTTAATTTAAATAATTCTGACTTTTTTGGATGAAACAATCTACACTTTTTATTCTTACATTTAGGGTATTCAGAACATAGAGATAAATGTCTATATTGACATGAAGATTTAGTACATATTAGTCTTTCCTTTACAGTATTACAATAAGGAATATCATGATTGTATTTACATTTTCTTCCAAAAGGGCAGAAATTATCATTTAAAATATTTTTACAAAAAATGGGTAGTTTCTCTACAAAATGAATTGTTGAAGGTTTTCCGTCTTCAGTAAAATTAATATCTACATTAAATGGTTTTTCAAAACTAAATTTTCTTTTTTTGTAATGTTTTTTAAAAGAAGTATTATCTATAGCAGGATAATCATCATTAATAACATTATAAGTTGGAACATAATTAATCCATTTCAGCTTATCTTTATGCAGTTCCATGATTTGAACTGTTTTTAAAGGAATTGGAACTATAGGTTTTTCTTTAACTTCATCTTCATCATCAGATGTAAAATAAGTAGCTTCATCAGATGTATAATAAGTGTCATCTTCAGAATCTGATTCTTCAAATTCAAATTTTAATATTTCTTCAAAAAGTTTAAATTCTTTTTGAAATTCAGATATTTCATTAATCTCATCATCATTCATTTTTTATTTTTATTATTTGTAAAAATATTTTAAATCAAAAAAAATTGAAAATGAATTAAATAATTTTCTTTTATATATAAAAAGAATGGAAAACGAAATGCAAAATTCATTTTTAAGATCAATAGAACAAAGATTAAGATTAATAGAAGAAAAATTAAATATTATTAATATTCATGATATTGAAATGACTGAAGATTCTGAAGTTACTACAATTACTACTACTGAAGTTACTGAAATTACAGAAACTACTGAATATGTTAATGAAGATGATGAAGATGAAGATGATGAAGAAGATGAAGAAGATGAAGATGATGAAGATGATGAAGAAGATGAAGATGATGAAGAAATATTAAAATATGTACATGAATTAGGGTATAAAAGTACAAAAGATGCTTTTGAAAATGCTGCTGAAAATGGAAATCTTGAAGTAATTAAACATTTACATGAATTAGGGTATAAAGGAAAAGGACCGGCACTTGATTGTGGATATGAATCAGGGTATAAAGTTACAGAATTAGCAATTGATAGCGCTGCAGAAAATGGTCACCTTGAAGTATTAAAATATTTACATGAATTAGGGTATAGAGGAACAGAATTAGCAATTGATAACGCTGCAATGAATGGACATCTTAAAATATTAAAATATCTTCATAAAAACGGGTATAAAGGAGCAGAAGATGCAATTGAGAATGCTGCAAGGAATGGACATCTTAAAATATTAAAATATCTTCATAAAAACGGGTATAAAGGAACAGTACATGCATTTAATTGTGCAGTAAATAACCAGATAAGCGAAGCATCAGATAGTAACCTTGAAATTATTAAATATTTACATAAATTAGGGTATAAAGGTTCAGAATTGTTTTATAATTTAGCTGTAGAAAATGGATATATTTAATAATTTTGATACACGTAGTGACTATAAATTCTAGTAGTGATAAAGTTAAGCAATGCTACTACTACGCATAAGCGCTACTATGCTTAAGTAAATCTCAGCGCATGCGCATTAAAAAAAATAAAAAAAATTGAAAATGAGTTAAATAATTTTCTTGTGTATATAAAAATAATGGAAAATAATTTTGAGATTAATGAAATATTAAAAGAATATGGGTATAATAATTGTGATAATAAAATTGATTTTGTTGCAAAAAAAGGTAGACTTGATCTAATTAAAATATTAATTCAAAAAGGAGAACAAGGGACAAGTTGGACAATTGATAATGCTGCTAAAAGTGGAAATTTAGATATGGTAAAATATTTACATGAATTAGGGTATAAAGGGACAAAAGATGCAATTGATAATGCTGCTAAAAGTGGAAATTTAGATATGGTAAAATATTTACATGAATTAGGGTATAAAGGGACAGGATGGGCAATTAATAATGCAGCAAGAAAAGGAAATTTAGATATGGTAAAATATTTACATGAATTAGGGTATAAAGGGACAAAAGATGCAATTGATAATGCTGCTAAAAGTGGAAATTTAGATATGGTAAAATATTTACATGAATTAGGGTATAAAGGGACAGAATGGGCAATTAATAATGCCGCAAGAAAAGGAAATTTAGATATGGTAAAATATTTACATGAATTAGGGTATAAAGGGACAAAAGATGCAATTGATAATGCTGCTAAAAGTGGAAATTTAGATATGGTAAAATATTTACATGAATTAGGGTATAAAGGGACAGGATGGGCAATTAATAATGCAGCAAGAAAAGGAAATTTAGATATGGTAAAATATTTACATGAATTAAGGTATAAAGGAACAGAAGATGTACTTAATTTTGTTAAAAATTTAGATATGGTAAAATATTTACATGAATTAGGATATATAATAACAGAAGATGCAATCGATTATGCTGCTTCAAGTAGAAATCTTGAAGTACTAAAATATTTACATGAATTAGGGTATAGAGGAACAGATATTGCAATTGATTTTGCTGCTTCAAGTGGAAATCTTGAAGTACTAAAATATTTACATGAATTAGGGTATAAAGGAACAGAAGATGTAATAGATGAAGCTGTTGAAAGTGGAAATCTTGAAGTACTAAAATATTTACATGAATTAGGGTATAAAGGTACAAAAGATGTAATAGATAAAACTGTTGAAAGTGGAAATCTTGAAGTACTAAAATATTTACATGAATTAGGGTATAAAGGTACGGTACGGGTATTTGATAATGCAGCAAGAAATGGAAATTTAGATATGGTAAAATATTTACATGAATTAGGGTATAAAGGTACGGTATGGGTAATTGATTATGCTGATGAAAGTGGAAATCATGAACTACTAAAATATTTACATTCTATTGGATATAAATAAGAAGCAAGAAAAAGTCACGTGACGTCATGCAAGAATTTTTCGTAATATTTCATAACAAGAAATAAAAATTAACACTTATTTTAAAAAAATTGATTTTTTTAAAATAAAAAATTATTTCTTGTTGAAATAGTTTATATACAATATGGTTAACATTGAACCCAATATTAATATTAATTTATGGTTGAAAATAAGGTTGAAAATGAAAATAAGCTAGAACTCTCCTTCTCCTACTACTTATAATGTTTGTAAAAAATCTACATGAATGGGAAAAACTTTCACTTTGCCAGTGTGAAAAACTTGATTTCCACGAAATCTTGGACATACAATGTACATAAAATGTATTAAGAATTACTATTAACCTCTTATAGCCCCGATTTGCCTGTGGTCAACATACCAAAAAATGGTTTAAAATCTTAATTAAAATTTTATTCCATAAAGAAATAAATGCGGATAAATTTAGTTTAATATTCAACCAATCAAAGTTCACTTACACTAAAGACTATACTTTGAATCCTCAGGTTTATTAGTTTTTCAATTTTCACTTATTCACGTTTCGCGTGCTTGTAAATAAGGTCAGTTTTGATTCTTTGATTTTCAGAAATATTTAATCTTTTTGCAGCTCAAAAAATTACTAAATTGTTTAATAACATATTTAATAAGATTTCTTATTTTCATATCCATTTTTCTTATTAGCTTTGCCTCAAACACGTTTTTAAATTTAATTTAAACCTTCGTTGCTTTAAAGCAACATTGCGCATATCTGCTTAAAAAGTCAAAACGCAACTTTTTGTTTGAGAACACGTTTTGTTGACTTAAGGCAACATTGCGCATAAATGGAATTAAAATTAAATGTAAATTATGTCGAATTTGTCTAATAAACAACATTCTTGTAGGTATAATTTAATAAATTTAGTCGGGACTGTTCGACCAAACAGGATCACGAATTGCAATATGTCAACTGACAAAGATATGAAAAACAAAGAAAGAGGCTCAGTTGAAATTAAAACTTGCCAAAATGATGGTGTTGAGCTTCGTGCAATTAAATGGTTTGATAATAGATCTGTTAACATCCTTACTACCTATGAGTTAGTAGTTCCAACAACTCATGTAAGAAGATGGGATAAAAAAGAAAAAAAAGGAGGTTTTGGTTGATTGTCCCTCTGCAATTGTCACTTATAACAAATGCATGGGAGGTGTCGATCTCTTAGATGGACTATTGAGCTACTATCGCATTCCAGTTCGTTCAAAAAAGTGGTATCATTGGCTAATCTGGCATTTTCTTGATGTATCTGTAGTCCAAGCATGGATAATGTATAAAAAATATTTAGCAAACGATAAAAAATAATGTCGTTAAAATCTTTCAAGTTGTCAGTTGCCGAATCATTGATTATGCGAGAAAAAAAGGTTAATTAGAAAAGGACAACCTTCAACATCAGTTGATTTGATCTATAATGAGAAGAAAAGAGGTCCTGCAGCGCCAATTTCAAACAAACTTATTAGAAACGATGAGTATGAACATTGGCCAGAGTACACAGATAAAAAAGGGAGATGTAGATATCCTGGTTGTAATGGTTTCCCTAAGATAAAATGTTCCAAGTGTGATGTCCGTCTCTGTTTTACGCCGACATCCAACTGTTTTAAAACTTTCCATGAATTCTAAATTTCAAATACACTTCTCTTAATATGATGTAAAATCAGAAAAGATAAAAAACTTGGGCTTTTCATGTAAAGTAATATTGTGTTATAATAAAAAAATTAGTACTTTTGCGTCCGTTATTGCCTGGAAGCAACGAACCCCAAATTGGCCCCAAAAATATAAAAAATTTGTTTTTTTAAATTTCATTATTATATTATGATAATAAGTGACTAACATTCAAAAAATATATTTTTTACACGACAAAAAAATAAAGTGGGCTTTTAGAGGTCAAGTTATTAGAATAGAGAGATGTTGTTGGGAGTCTCCTCCCAACAACATCTCTCGGGCCTTTTTTTTCATAATAAGCCTGTTTGCGTTTGGCAATTAATTAATTTTTGATTTTTTCGTTCGGAATTTAAATTTCACTTTGCATAAGGACTCTAATTTCCTAAAGCTAGTGTAGCGTGTCATTTTTACTCCAGCTTTTTTTTACTTGCCAGTAAAAATCTTATATTAAATTTTTACTCCCATGATGAGATTTTTACTCCCATAAAATATTTTGTGTCAAAACGTATTTTTACAACCAAACCACGTTGTATTTTGTGAATACTTTTGAATTTTTTAATTACTGCGGTTTTTTGAAAAGCAATAAAGAAGCGAATTTTTTAACGCAGTGGCAAATATACTGTTTAAGATTTAACAATGCATACTAAATTTGCCGACGTTTATAATTTAAAAAAAAATGTAAATATCCAACAGCTGTCATTAAAAGTGATAAATCAAACTTCAAAAAAACAAAAAAAAAACAGGTGTAATTGAAGATGATGAGTTTTATCATCTGGGTAAATCTAGCGTTATGGTAAGCAGTTTATATAGTTATAGTTTTTTTTATATGATTTGAGATTTATGAATGCAAAGTCACTCTTTTTTAAGGTTGTTTAATAGTAGGTTTTTTTATTTTATCTTTTTTACATATTGGTTATCTTTAATGCAAAGTCTTTAAATCTACTCATTAAATGTTAAACTTCAAATTGACGTGCTTTGTGATAAAAGCACTAGAAACCTAATAAACATAAAAAAAAGAACCTTTATGTTCATTTGGTTTAACTAAGTTATGTGTTTAACTAGTATAAATTATGTTTTATACATGTACAAATTGTTCTAAAGGTATGTATGTACACTGTATATTAGATAATTTTATAAATCTTTAAATAGTTATTTATAAATAACTATTAAAACCATTTCTAAAAAACCTAAATCACGTTACTTATATTTTATTTATGTTTCCGATTTTTCCAATTCTTTTATAGTTTTAGTAATACTAGTTTAATATAGTTTATTTAGTGTAAAGAAGAGGTGCATGATGGTAATGATACTTCTATTAAAGCTAATGTATTATCTGGTCAATTATGGGTCAATTTAACAACAAAACATAATAAAAATAATTTTTTTGATTTGGACTGGTAAAAGACATTACCACCTATGTTTCTAAATAAGATAACTGTCAAAAAAAAAAATTTCAAGTTAAACCATTATTACAAAGCATACCAGTTCTAAAAGGTAAAATGAAACAGGTTGGAAATGATTTGACCTAACTTTCAAAAATAAATGGTTATAACCTGGTGGGAAATGAACGACAAGCTAGCCAATAGTTAGCTTTACAGCGAGTTTTTTTCTCTCTTATTATTATTTTATTTTGTTTTTTATATCATAAAAAATTAGAATTTCAGTATTGGATCTAATATATTTATAAAACTAATTGAACTTATAAAATTGCAATTTTACTACAATATGTCGCTATCTGACTTTCGCAGCATTGCAGCTATTGAATCATACATAATCGAATTATAAAATTCTGCAACAAAAAAATCTTTTCACCAAAGAACAACATGATTTTATTTTGAACAAGAGAGGCTTGCGTCACAAATTTACTAAAAGCGAGAGATATCTTAACTGAAGATGTTTATCAAGATAACGCTATTGGCGTAGTTTATGCTGACTTTAGTTTAGCCTTTGATAAGGTATCACACCGTCGACTTCAATATAATCTCAAAGCATACGGAATTTGTGGATCATTAATCAATTTGATAGAACAATGGCTTACCAATAGACGAAAGTAAGTGGTTTTTGATTGCCATGAATCCGGATGGAAGAGTGTTACAAGCGGGGTACCACAAGGTTCAGTTCTTGGCCCAATACTGTTTTCCCTCTTTATTATTGATCTCCCTGATAATATCACTAACCACATCAAAATAAAGGATGATGATTGTAAAGCTATGGGAGTTATCATTTCGAGTGAAAAGGCTGCTTTCTTGCAAAAATAATATCAACAAAGTAGTTGACTGAAAAAAATGGTTCTTGCTATTCAATACAGACAAGTGTAAAGTAATGGATGTAGACAAAAAAGAAACAGATCCACACACAACTACACAATAGAAAAAAGAAGATAATAAATATCATCAGCTACACATTTCAGATGAACTAAAATCAAAACAACAGGTTGATTTGGCAGCGTCAAAAGCGAACATAATGCTCAGAAAGCTCAAAACGTTGTTTAGAAGCAGAGGTATCCTGCTTTGAAATGTTCTATAATACTTATGTTAGACCACATTTAACATAATATCAATTGGGTCCTTTGTTGCTCGAAATTGTGATAATAAAGATTCGGGCAATCCCACAGCAAATGCCAAACGTACCTGAAGAGACCTTCGGACAGTACGTTTGGCATTTGTTGTGGGAAAATACTAGACAGTGTATTGTCCAGTATTTTTATTTTTTAAGTTTGTTTAATTTTGGTAGGAAATTTTCAAAGTTGCACAAAAAAACATGACAATATGAGCAATACACGACAATGCCTGATGAACGCAATACACAAAAATAAAATAAGAATACGCAAGAATGTCTGAAAATAAAAAACGAAAAAACAACAAACAATGCAAACAGCGCACAAAAATACATAATAAAATAAACAACTTAAAAAAATACTAGACAATTTAAACAGCAGTGACAGATCTAGGGGGGGGGGGGGAATGGAAGATATGCATCCCACCCCCACCAGAACCTGAAAGTCCTAAAATACATTGGAAACGGAAGACCTTTTTTTTTATATGACAAATGTGATGCAAAATACAAAAATATTTCAACATTATCCACCCATTCCCCCACCACCATTCCCACCACCACCTCAACTAAAAATTCCTGGATCCGTCACTATCAAACAGTATACAAAAATACATGACAATATAAACAATTACAAAAATAATTTAAAGAACTAATTAATTTAAAAAATTGTTCTTTTTCGTTATTTTTTCGCTGAACAATTCGCTGTAAAAACTTTATTTGATATTTTTGTTAACAATACAAT